GATCTCGGCTCACCGCAACCTCCGCCTCCTGGGTTCAGGCAATTCTCCTGCCTCAACCTCCTGAGTAGCTGGGATTACAGGCACGCACCACCATGCCCAGCTAATTTTTTGTAGTTTTTTAGTAGAGACGGGGTTTCACTGTGTTGACCAGGATGGTCTCGATCTCTTGACCTTGTGATCCACCCGCCTCGGCCTCCCAAAGTGCTGGGATTACAGGCTTGAGCCACCGCGCCCGGCGCAAAGAACATTCTTAAGACAAGTGGTTACCAAATCAGTCCAAATGGAAGAAGTGATGGAGGGGGCGTGGTGCACCGGACTGTACTCCCCTGTGGCTTGCTGTTTTAGCTGGTAGAAAGCAGTACATTTGTTTTACTGGAAAAATAGTGTTTGAAAACACGACCGCTGCATACTTGGTAGCAAACTAGACCGTTCATTTAAAAATACATTTTAAAAAATGTATATGCCATTTATAGCCAATTGTAACAATAGTGAAAAGATCTTGTTTACAATGACAACATCATTGAAAAATACCTAAAAACGTGTGTAATAAGAACTATCTGGGGTCTCTATGAAGATTACCCTAAAACTTAACAAGGAAGCTTTAAAAAAGGTGACAAGATGTGGAAACATGCACTACGTTCCTGGTTGGTAAGATGTAGTATGATTCCAATGGCAATTCTTGTTATGTGAATTTGTACTTTTTATGTGATTCCAGGCCATCTCTCAGCAGAGCGATGCTGGCTATGTTCTGTTTGTCCTTCATGTCTCTAAGAGCTGATCTACATTCCCTCCAGCTGTCTGACCTTAGGCGACATGTCAGTAGATTCCCATTGAGGCTTGCATTGGGTTCAGTCAATGAAGACTCTTGGTGGAGATCTGATGGGCAGGGGGAAAGAAGGGAATAATCTCCGAGTATGTTTTCCATAGTATCCTTCCTGTAAATCCAAGAGGCTAATAGTATGACCTTAAGCTGTGATTTTTGACCTAAGGTCCAGCTCCAGTCAAGAGGCCCCTGTACACAGGATCTTCAAGGATTCTCTTCCAGTTTCTAGAAGCTGCTCCACTCCCTTTTCTCTACTCTCTTTTGTTTAGGGATAACAGTGAAACTGTTACTAGCCCTGAGCTACTGTCCACACTCTTGTATATAGTCCCAGTCCTTTGGCATTTCCAGATAATCACATGGTTCGCTAAACATTTTAATAAATTCATAGAAACCACCAGCAGTTGGCAAATATTCACTTATATCATTGTGCCATTTCAGATTCTTCCTTCTTAACATAAATCTGTTGTTGTTTGCTTCCAGGAGGTTGTTACATGCATGGATTGCTTCAAACGCTACAATCACATTTGGCAAAAGGAGAAAGAAGAAGCCATTAAGACATTTATTACACAGAGCCCCTTGCTTTCTGAATTTGAGTCCCAGATTCTCTATTTCCAAAACCTAGAGCAGGAAATTAATGCTGAGCCTGAATATATCTGTGTAGGTTCCATTGCTCTGTACACAGGTTGGTTTATTTTCTTTCATAGAGCCATGTAAATTAGACAGTATTGTTTTGTCTTTTTATCCAGATTAGTATTCCAGAGAATTCTACCTGTCTTAAAGATTGACTTTATGGGCCTCAAGATTTGAGATCAGTTTGTAGATTTTTAAAAAATTTCCTGCTGCATAATTATTAATTCTTGATTATTTTGAACACTTTGCTGCTAAACCTTGAAAATAAAGGTTAGGTCAGACAAAGGAGATGCTGTTATATTCTGAATTAAAATTTGCCCTTTATTTAACAAATAATAATAACAAACAATTGAGGCTTATCCCGGAGGTTCTGATGTGTACTTTTTAAAAAAAACATTTTGAAATATGTATTGGATTGTTGTAAAAACAAACTTTATAAAATGAACGAATATATAAATCACTAGGAAAAATTATGATTTTTTTTTTCCGGTTCAACTTTTTATGGGTTAGAAGGCTATAAGCTGCAAAGTGTTTACTGTTGGAGAACAGTGACACTTTGACTTTTCATACCGGTTCAAGTTTTTAAAATTGAACTGTAGACATTTGGGTTTTCAGCTGACTTGAAGTTTTCCCTGACTGCCGAGACAAAGACCTGGATGGTTGTCATTGGACGCCACTGTAACAAAAAATACCGGAGTGAGATGGAAAACATTTTTACCCTTATTGAAGAATTCAATAAGAAACTAAATCGTCCAATTAAGGACCTGGATGATATTCGGATTGCAATGGCAGCACTGAAAGAAATAAGGGAGCAGGAAATCTCCATTGACTTTCAAGTAGGGCCTATCGAGGTGACTAATGATCATTTGTTCAATATAGAAATATTTCTACATGTTGGATGCTATTACCTGAAATACTGACTGGGTCTGGAGCAAAGTTACTAAATGGGTGCTAAACCAAGACAATAATTTCAATATTGTTGATGATACCAAAGCCCTATAGGGTGCCTTCCATGGGCCAGGTCTCTCCTTCACGTATGACAAGTTCCTTCAGAGCAGATCCTGAGATAAAGATTTTTGCGCAAGTGATTTATTGATGAGTGCTCAGTAGAGAAGGGGAGTGAGGGAATCAGGAAAGGTTAAGGATGAGAAGCCAATCAGCTATGGACTGACTTCAGCCTGATCCCACGGGCGCCCTACACCATCAATTGAGTTGGGCCCTCCTTCATGAAAAGGAGACTACCCTTTGTACTTCTAAGTCAGTGAAAATGGGCCATGACCTCCCATGAGAAGGCTCACATTCCGCTGAGGAAAATCTTCCAGAGAAGGGGACAGCTGCAGTTCTTAAAGCCAGCACTCTCAGTATTCGGGGATGGGAATAGCAGTTGGTAATCAGGACCTGGATGGGGAACTAACAGTGTTCATATATGCGTTAACTCATTTCATCCTTACTATGGCTGCTACTCATCGTGCAAGGAAACTGAGGGTCAAAGAAGTTATGGACTTTTATCAGTGTTGCACTTCACTTTTATTTGTATACCATATCATACTATTTTTTTCCAGATGAAAATGTCTTTTTTTGCAGTGAAGTCTGCTTCACTGACTTATCAATTATAATATTATCAACATACATAGTATAATTTAAGCAATAGCCAAAAAAAAAAAGGCAGTTGATTTCTTTACAAGCAGACACCCTCGAATAGATTCACTTGAGTAAACATTATCTCTTTCTAAGGAGTCTCCTTAGAAATCTCATGTTAAGCCACCAACAAAATCAGTCTTAGCAACAGCCTTTTTTTAAAACAAAACAAAACAAAACAAAACAAAACAAAACACTACTTTTCCCCCAAATTAAAAAATAGCATTTTAGAAAAATTAGAAAACGCAAAACAAATGTATGAAATATAATTTCAAAATTACCGTAATCTTATCAATCAAGTTCGTACCAAGATGTTGGTATATTTCTTTCCAGCTTCTTTTCATGTCTGTATATGTGTGTGCAATTTTGAATTCCATTTTTTATTCATCTTGTAATACATATTATCATTATAAATGACATAGTGTGAATTATTAATATCATTAATAACTTTTCATAATCAGAATTATTGGTGCATGCCTTTAAATCTTATTTGCCACTCATGATTGTTGACAAAGGCCCAAGAGTGGAGACATTAAGGAAAAGCACTTCTCAGCCGTGGAGGCACTGTGGGGTCAGGGCCAGTGTTAACCTCAAGATGAAAATGTCTTATCAGAAGTGGCTCACTATATTTGTTATTTTAAAATGAGACTAGTATAATTGTAGCATTAAAAAAAAACTCCAGTTGTAAAAGCATCATCTTTTCATCACACCATAATCGGAATGTGTGGACTTATACTCTGATGGTCCAGATTAGACTCTAGTCTCCCATTTTCTGCATCCCTGTTTGAATTTTGAAAATTTTTCACATTACCATGAAAATGGTACAGACCACTACACATTTTCACTTCTGCTATGTTGGGCCAGGAGGATCACATGGTCCATCCTGCTTTCCTTGGCTTGAAACATCAAGGCAAAGAGACTTTCTTTGTGCAAGATCTGGGGAGATCCTCAAGTCTGAAGAGGAGGTACAGTAACTGACAATCCTGTTTTCTCCCACCTGGACATTAAGAACAAAAGTAGAATCAAGTAGACAAGATCAAAACATCACCTTTGTGTCTGATGGAAGTTATTTGGAAGACATAATTGAGTGTATTACTTCAGTTATTTTCCTCCCTTCCCTACCCCCAAACACACACACACACACACACACACACACACACACACACACACACACGCTATAAGCTAGTAAATACTAAATCCCAGGATTATGATACTCCCTCATCCATCAGAGGCAGTGTTGGAAAGCTGTAGGTCTTGTGTTACCCTGATCAGTTTATGGCGCTGAGGTGCAGACCACAGGCATGCCTCCATGGAGAGAGAGGGAAGAGAGAGAAAGGCACTGGGATATGCTTGCTCAAATCAACAATTTTTTTCCCCCCAAATCAACAATCAGGCACTCATTCCACCTCTATGGGGAGGAGTAACAGTGGGAGAAGAGAAGAGGGATATTAGAGAAAATTCTTTCTTATCAAAACCAACCTTAGCCTTATTTTAATCTTTTAGCGAAGAAAGCCATCCAGGATCTTACATGCTGAAGGGAATGACTTGGCCCAGGCTCTGATTCGAGAACACCCTTTTGTGTCTTACTATTGGAACCTCTTATCAATCAAGTGAAATGAGACAGAGTAAAAACCCTGATTTATTTTGTTATTCTAATATTAGAAGTTATTTTATGTTTTTCATTTACTTGATATAATTGTGTTGTCATCAAATACAATTTGGGGGCCTAAGTAAAAATATCTTTTATTTGTCTAATGGTTTATGGTTTTTCAAATGCATTTAAAATGATATTTTCAGTACTCTCAAAGATCCTGTGAAGCAGCCAAAAGATTTTCTCATTTTATAGATGAGGAAACTGAATGGCTCAGTTGCTCAGTTAACCTCTTAAAGTTTAAAGTAGAATAACTAGAACTGTTAGGTAATTTCACTATTATGCTGATATTTTCCATTATTATCATTTAATACATGACTGGGTGTAGATTTATGCATCTGACTGGCCAAAACTAAGGTTTCTCTCTTTTTTTATAGGAATCTTATGCCCTGCTTAACAGATATGGACTTCTGATAGCAAAGGAAGAGATGGACAAAGTTGATACACTGCACTATGCTTGGGAGAAGCTGCTGGCACGTGCTGGTGAAGTCCAGAATGAATTAGTCTCACTACAGCCCAGTTTTAAGAAAGAGCTTACTAGTGCTGTGGAGGTATTCCTCCAAGACTGTCACCAGTTTTATCTGGACTATGATTTGGTATGTCTCTGGCTTTTTCTGCATGCATTTTTGGGGGTTAGTGAATAGAGCATGCAAAATATAGTTGTCTAAAAATTATGGGTAAAATTGTATGAAATGCCCCAGGAATTCCCAAGGAATGGGATTTTTATTTTCATGAGAGAAAAACATTTTCTCTTCACAATCCTTTCCCCTTAGAGTTTGTATTAGTCTGTTTTGACACTGCTATAAAGAACTACTAGAGTCTGGGTAATTTATAAAGGAAAGAGGTTTAATTGACACACAGTTCAGCATGACTGGGGAGGCCTCGGGAAACTTGCAATCATGGCAGAAGGTGAAGAGAAAGCAAGGTACCTTCTTCACAAGGCGGCAGAAAGAAGTGCCAAGCAAAGGGGGAAGAGCCCCTTATAAAACCATCAGATCTCATGAAAACTCACTCAATATCCAGAGACTAGCATAGGGGAAACTGCTCTAATGATTCAGTTACCTCCACCTAGTTTCTCCCTTGAGACTTCAGGATTATGGGGATTACAATTCAAGATGAGGTTTGGGTGGGGACAGAAAGCCTAACCAAATCAGGGTTCATATAGGATAATTTCAACAGAAAATGATAAATTTAAAAGTGCTAACTTAAAAGTGCTAACACTGCATCATTTGTTCTGTTACTAAAGTTGTTTGGTAGCATTCTAAATTTGTGTAGAAAAGTACTATTCACATATAGTTATAATGTCCTCCTATCCACGGCATTCCTTGGTTCCACAAATATGGAGCACAGAAGTGCTGGGCGCTGTCCTTGGTTCTGACTAAACAGTAGTGGATAAGACAGATGGAGCCCTGCCTCCATGGAGTCCATATTTTAATTACTCATATATGTTTAGGTACTGAATCTTCTAATGTGAATATGCTGTGTAATGAGACCCTTCTGCAGGCAAATATAATGTGCAGAAGAAGGGAAATATAGTTTCAGGTAAAATTTGTACCTATTAACTAGTAGCACAATAAACCACAAAATTAATAATGTTAGATGATTGGGTCCATGTACCAACTCCATGGATGAAGCAGCACAGGAATCCACATATTCAGGGTTTTCTAATGTAGGAAAATCTGACTGGAGTGTTAAGATTATAGGCCACCTTACAAGTGGGTGTTAGAATGATAAAAATCTATGAGTTATATGACATTAGCATTTGGTTCAAAAGCAGGCATTATATGTGCTTCTTATAGAACAGCCATTGACTCCTCTTTGCCTGTGTTACCTAAGAAATGAGTAATGCATATTTTTATCCTTAAAAGTTTCTTGACAAAAGGAAGTCCTGGCATTAATTTGGCTTTTTTAGACTGGAAAAATATTTCCAAATGAATCTTTGTGAGGACCTTTTTTTCTAATAAATAAAAACTAAGTTTCTTATCATGCATGACACCTAACTTTAATATTTAAATATTCTGAGTTCATGAAATTTACATGCAAACAATTTGTTCTATATATTTTTTTAACTTTTTGTTCAGAATGGTCCAATGGCTAGTGGCTTGAAGCCCCAGGAAGCCAGTGACAGGCTTATCATGTTTCAGGTAATCTTTTTAGTTTCTATGACTTTCTAAACAATAAAATCTTGTTGTGTTTTAAACACATGTATATTTTCTTCTTTTTAAGATATAGAGCCCTATTGTGGAACAATGTATGTACTTGCATTAAAAATAAGATTTTGTAGGATTACAATTAGAAGTGGTTTCTATGAATTAATTATGCCTACTTAGTATTCCTATTTACATGTGCCCAGAGATCATATATCACTGGCTTACTTGTTTGCCAATCTTATATTTTCATTTGCATGTTTGTTCATGTATAAATCATTTTGACGAGTTTTCACTTGTGTTTTTATTAGAATCAATTTGACAATATCTATCGGAAATACATCACATATACTGGAGGAGAGGAGCTTTTAGGCCTGCCAGTTACACAGTATCCTCAGCTTCTCGAAATAAAGAAGCAACTAAATCTTCTACAGAAAATATACACTCTCTACAACAGTGTCATAGAGACTGTAAATAGTTACTATGATATTCTTTGGTCAGAGGTGAATATTGAAAAAATCAACAATGAACTCTTAGAATTCCAGAACAGGTAAGAAGTTAAATGTTTAGCATGCCCAGCGATTAAACTTCAAATGCTTTCTTTTTTGACAGGCAGCCAAGTTCTGTTTTCACCCCTGCTGTTTCAAAAGCACATCTTACTGCATTGTTGTTGTCCATTGACATCATTCTTGTTAATTGCTATTTGTTAATTACTCCTGTGTGTAGACAATGAGACAAGCACATTCTTTATACATGAATGAATCATGTTAGGGGCTTTTCTGCAGCTTGGTGGGAGCCAATTTTTATTTATATTATACTTATGAAACATTTGAAGTTTATGTTAGATTATCATCTGGAACAAAAGCAGGAGCCCATGATTTTTCTATATTGTTGTAGCTGCTGAATCCAAAGAAAAGGGAGAACTATTTGTTGTATATTTCACTTGACAGCCTGATACACTATGCTGTGCTTTGTGCTTAGTAAGTTCTCAGTACATGTTTGTAGAATTGAATTAACCTGAACAGCACCTCTATACTCCAAAATAATGCCTCTAACTAGGTAGTAGTTGTGAAGGATTGGAAAAAATCTTTTCTAATGGAGAAGACAATTATCTGTAATATATAAGTCATCTGTATATTATATTAACAGATTGCCTGCAAGTCATGGGATTTTAAAATAGGATAGGTATTCAAAGACACTATTTTTGATAGAAATGCTAGCAGACCATCTTGGTCCAGAGATGTCTGTGATCATGTTTCAATGAGCTTTCACGTTGGTTTCCCTTCACAGGTGTCGGAAGCTGCCCCGGGCTTTGAAGGACTGGCAGGCTTTTTTGGACCTGAAGAAGATCATTGATGATTTCAGTGAGTGTTGCCCACTGCTGGAATACATGGCCAGTAAAGCCATGATGGAGCGACACTGGGAAAGGATAACCACCCTCACTGGGCACAGCCTGGATGTGGGGAATGAAAGCTTTAAGTTAAGAAATATCATGGAGGCACCTCTGCTGAAATACAAAGAGGAAATAGAGGTACAGTTGACAGAGCATGATGTGGTGGAAGATTAAAAGGTCTCATGGTATTTATTTGATAACATTTCTGTATTATAGAATATTAGATCAGTAAACTATACTCAGACAATTGAAATTGTTCTCCTGGCATTCAGCCATTAGTTCCTTCAACAAATGTTTATTACACCTAAGATGGTACAGATTCTGCATCAGAATTAACAATGCAGTCTTGCATTCAGATATCATTAAATAATTATACAAATAAAGGCATAGCTATAAGCTATGGAAAATGCCATTGAATAAAATGTATGATGTTCTATGAAAGCCTATGATAGATGAGTTTGGCTCACGTGGGGGTGATAAAGCTAGGGAGGGCTGGGACACAGGCACAGGACTGGCTGGGCGAAGGGAGTGTGGTTGTGTGGTTGGGTGAGGGGCTTGGAAAGTGCAAAGAAGGCCATTCCAGGCAGATGGCACATTATGCATGGAACATCTGAAGTATATTTGAGGAACCAGAAGAAGACCTGTGTGGCTGGGGTGTGGAGGCCAGGCAGAGAGGACCAGCTGAGGCCAGGGAGGCGGATGTTATTGAGCAGTGGGCACCAGCTGAGAGATGTGTTTTCAGCAGGGGCTGACATGGTTAGGTTGACTGTTTATAAGCATCACTCTGCTAGAGATCGTTGGAGAAAGAATTGAAGGAGGACAAGGGAGGAGTGTTGGAAAAACCAACTGAGAGTTTCTAAGGGTAGCTCAGGCAAGAAATGATGGCTTGTTAGATGGGAAGGGAAGCAGTAAAGCCAGAGGGGAGAGACAGGATCACGGGGTATTTGAGGAGAATTTGGTGACGAAGGGAACGTAGCAGGAGAAAGAAGAGGGGGGTTAAAGATGAATTCTAGATTTCTTGCTGTAAGACCTCAATGGATGAAGGTGCTGACCACTGAGATGAAGGGGATCAGATTGGGTGACAAGATGCAAAGCTCATGAGCTTGATCAGGGACATGAGTCTGGTATTTCACAGACTGTGTTTGGGGTTTCCTTGAAACATCACAGCAGGGAAGTTCAGTAGGCAAATGGATGTGGGTCTTGCCTGGAGATATGAAAGTGATTGAATTCATGAGTGTAAATGAGCTCACCCAGAGGGGAAACATAGTGTGGGAAGAAATGAGGGTAAAGAAAGGGCTGGACTAATCGCCTCAAGGGTGAGGCTGCAGAGGAGTCTGGGAAAGTGACCAGAGCCATGGGAGAAATCAGGTTTTGCTACCTGTGTTCATTCACACGCTGCATTCATTTGACTTAAGCGGTAAATCAGAAATACACTGAATTTTGAATCAGTGATTGAAGTTTCAAAATGTAAAAGTGATTTGCACGTATTTTCTGTCACCTTTTTTTCTGGACAAGTTTGATGGGAAATTTTTAAAATTCAAGTTCTGTTATTCAATGATATCTTTATCTCCATCTCTCTTACGGCATCAGTATCTGCATATGCACATTCTATTTATAATATTGCATTTTCGGTCTGGAAATATAAAAGTTTATATGTATATATAAATAAAGCAGACCGTGAAGATAGGGTCTTTCAACTAGACTATTAAGGAAGGATATGTGACTTTCATGCAATAATATGAGAGCTTACTATTTTGGTAGGACATCTGTATCAGTGCGGTGAAAGAGAGAGACATTGAGCAAAAGCTGAAGCAAGTGATTAATGAATGGGACAACAAAATGTTCACCTTTGGCAGCTTTAAAACCCGTGGAGAGCTCCTCTTGCGAGGAGACAGTACCTCGGAAATCATCGCCAACATGGAGGACAGTTTGATGTTGCTGGGTTCCCTACTGAGCAACAGGTGGGAAAACCATCTATCTTTTTCCTTAGATTTGAGAACCATAATAGCAAACATTTCAAATGAATAAAAAGTGCATTACAATAATACCCTTCATACAATCTATTCAATGTTGAAAATACTTGATTTAATTAAATTAATTAATTTTTATATCCAAAACATCAGCACCCACTTATATATTAATAATCAATAGATTATATTCCAATTATTCTTGTTTTCATTTTGGCCTCGGACACATGTTTCAGCATGTGTAACGCTGGTTTTATTTCATTATCCTGTGTTTATGGGATGTATCCGAGACCATCCGCTGGACAATTAGCCACTCGGCTCTTGGGAACATTTCAGCTTTGCTGCTGACAAGCCTCACTGCACAGCTGACAGCTCTACAGCCTCTAGAGTCCAGGAGGAACGTTATTCTGAATTCCAGAATAATCATTCTATTCGAAAAGCCTTTTTTTTGCCACCATCTGTGGACTAGAAACTCTTAGTTGTTTACATACTTTATTTTTTATATTTGTACAAATTTGTGGGGTATGTGTGAATGTTTTTCTTTTTTTGAGACAGAGTCTCTCTCTGTCACCCAAGCTGGAGTGCAATGATGCGTTCTTGGCCCACGGCAACCTCAGCCTTCTGGGTTCAAGTGATTCTCCTGCCTCAGCCTCCAGAGTAGCTGGGATTACAGGCGACCGCCACCATGCTTGGCTAATTTTTGTATTTTTGAGTGAGACAGGGTTTCACCATGTTGACCAGGCTGGTCTCAAACTCCTGGTCTCAGGTGATTCACCCGCCTCCGCCTCCCAAAGTGCTGGGATTACGGGTATGAGCCACTGCACCTGGCCACATGTAAACTTTTGTTACACGTATATAATGCGTAGTGCCACCCCTCACATTCTGGATATGCACACTGTACAGTCATGAACTTACATTTCCTTGTTTCATTGCTTCTGTTTGCTCTTTCTGAAATAATGTTTTTGTTCCCCAGAATCTTCTCAAATATATGGTAATTGTGCAGAATGTAGTTACCATTGAGATATAAATTTGTTGTTCTATTCTAGCTTTAAAATATCACTCAATTCCCTGTATATATGTGTATCAATACTTTTAATATTGGAAATACCGTGTACTTCATGCTATCTCAGTGAAAATTTCCCTTATTTTAACTTACTTCTTACACGAAAGTAAGTAATATGGGGATATGAAGTTAGACCATTAGTAATCTTGAGTTTGGACTTCTCGGGATTTAGTGAATTTTAATGAGCTTGACTACTATTCATACCAAACAAGAATAAAGGATAGATGGACAATAATATACTCTAGAGAGATAGAATAGACACACATATAAATTAAGTAAATATTATCTGGTTGGGGTGGGGAAACTTTTCTCATCAATGGCATCTAATCTGCAGATAGAGTTATGGGAGGAATGCTTTTTCAATATATATCTATTGAACCCTTACTGTGTGTGCGATGTACTCGTCTAGGTGCTGTGGATAGAATAAGAAATAAGGGAAAGATCTCTGTTTCTATGGACCTATATTCTAGTGAAGAGCATACAAATAGAAAGATGTGTGGAATATTAAAAGAATTTGGTTAGCAATTAAGAATATGGAAATTAAACTCTTATGCAATAATACAACTTCAAGTACATATTATGTAGGGCTAGAGAGATCTATGAAGGGATAAGAAAAAGAAGAAGAAACATAAAGATAGGCTGTACAATCATTTAAGATAAAGTTTGTCTGTAAGTAACAGAAGCACCACATACAAAATGGCTAATATAACACTGATGTTTATATTGCTCACATGTAAAACAAGTCCTAAGGTAGATGGTTCAGGCTGGAATGGGGGCTTCACCACATCATCAGGGACCCCAGCTTGGTCTGGCACACTCAGTCTTTCCAAGGTGTGACCTTATTTCCTGTACTATCCATTATATCCAATGCCACTACTCACATTTCATGTAGAAGAGTGGTTCTCAATCTTTGCAACTGAAAGAACTTAAAAAAATCCCAATGCCAGCGTCACTTCCCAGACCCATTGAATCAGTCTCTGTAGGTAGGACCCAGGCAGGCAGCAGTCATGTTTAATGTTGGCGAGATGATTCCAGTGTTTAGCTAAGATGAAGCTCTGTTGATGTGGAACTTAGCCTTGTGACTGCACATGACTGCAACGGGAAACTGGGAAATTCAGTAATTTAGTTGGGTAATTATGAGCCCACATCGAAGGACAGAAAGAGAAAAGGACATTGGGAGGCCACTGGAAGGCAGTCTGTCTCAAAGAGGAAAAGGGGAAGACAGATTAACTATGGAAGAGGCAGTAACCTTGCACACATGTACATCAAACGTGAGTGGGTTGGACACAAGTGTGGGGGAAGTTAGAAAGAGACTCAGAAAAGGGGAAGCTAAGGAGAGAGTCCAGATGTTATCATATTTGAAGATTGCATTAGTTGTCTGGTCCCCCCGATGGTTCTATAATGGCTCCATATTCTATGAAAAACCAGAGACCCCATGAAATAGGCACAGAAGCTCAGTAGAGTGAATATTATTCTCAGCCATAGCAGCACTGAGGGTAAATGTATTTCCCTGGAAGCTTGGTGGAATCAAGTCTTATGCCTGAGCTACTCTCTAGATTGTAAATCTCCCACCCTTCTCTAAGCTCTGGATCAAAAGGGAAAAAGCTAGACTTAACAATGCACAATAGATAGGGATGAACTAATCACTTGGTTGCATCATTTTAAAAGCCATCATTTAAAAAGAACATAGTTAAGGTTATAAAGAAAGAGGATACAAAATTAAGATTTTTACAAACCTCTTTGGCTTTAAAACAACAGCATGACAAAAACCAAAACCAAATCCTGAAACTGTTTCTTATTTTAGGTACAATATGCCATTCAAAGCTCAGATTCAAAAATGGGTGCAGTACCTTTCCAACTCAACAGACATCATCGAGCGCTGGATGACGGTGCAAAATCTGTGGATTTATTTAGAAGCCGTTTTTGTGGGAGGAGACATTGCCAAGCAGCTGCCCAAGGTTTCATAATCTACTTTGTGATTTCATCAGATTTTTCAGAGAAAGATCTAAGAATAAATATTCCCTTAAATAATGCCATAATATTTAACTTCTGTTGAACTGCTCCCCTCAGTCTTTTTGTTGTTACTGTTAATGGTGTTATTCTTCAAAGGGAATGAGGAATTGTGGAAAGGAAAGGGGTGACAGAGTAAGAAAAACTGTGGAGGTTTGATAGGAAATAGAGGGTTAAAAAAACAAAGAATCAGTGGTCGTGTAATTGATCTGCTTCTTTAGATAATTTCAAGGTACAATTTGGAACAGTGTAGAATTATAGTGCAGTTATCTTGACAATTCTAGGCTAATTTGTTCTTCTACTGCTGACATTTTAAAGTAATGCATAGTATACATTGTACCCAATTATATCTGTACTGTAAAATTGAGGGGTGGCAATGTGCAGAAAAAATCTCCAAAACAAAAAGAACTTTTCAAGATGTCGAGTATGTATTTTTCATCAAATCGTAATCATCTGACTAGGTATATATGGAATATATTTTGAGATTTTTAAATGAACATTTTAACCAATTCTCAAGGATTCTTATTCAATTACCTTAAGCTGTATGGAAGATGATAACATTTTAACAATATATTTCAGTTTTAGAAGCATGATTATGTTAAATGTTTTCATCGCATAGGTTTCTCTTTGGTTAGTTTTCAGTTTGGTTACAAAAGACAGATCAAATTATAGACTGCAGACCATTTATTTTGGAGGCAATAGTGAAATTTATTCACTCACTAGAATTTTACTTTATTTTTGATTTGTATTTGTGCATGCTTTTTTTCTTCTTTTCTTAAAGTTATAAATAGTAGGTTTGGATTTTTTTTTTTTATTATACTTTAAGGTCTGGGATACATGTGCAGATCATGCAGGTTTGTTACATAGGTATACATAGACCATGGTGGTTTGCTGCACCCATCAACCTGTCATCTACATTAGGTATTTCTCCTAATGCTATTGCTCCTCTTGACCCCCACCCCCGACAGGCCCCTGTATGTGATGTTCCCCTCCCTGTGTCCATATGTTCTTATTGTTAGCTCTCACTTGTGAGTGAGAACATGCGGTGTTTGGTTTTCTGTTCCAGCTTCATCCATGACCCTGCAAAGGACATGAACTCCTTCCTTTTTATGGCTGCATAGTATTCCATGGTGTATGTGTCCCACATTTTGTTTATCCAGTCTAACATTGATGGGCCTTTGGGTTGGTTCCAAGTCTGTGCTGTTATGTATAGTGCTGCAATAAACATATGTGTGCATGTTTCTATATAATAGGATGATTTATAATCCTTTGGGTATGTGCCCAGTAATGGGATTGCTGGGTCAAATGGTATTTCTAGTTCTAGATCCTTGAGGAATCATTACACTGTCTTCCATAATGGTTGAACTCATTCACACACCCACGAACACTGTAAAAGCGTTCCTATTTCTCCACATCCTCTCTAGCATTTGTTGTTACCTGACGTTTTAATGATCGCCATTCTAACTGGTATGAGATGGTATCTCATTGTGGTTTTGATTTGCATTTCTTTAATGACCAGTGATGATGAGCTTTTTTTTCATATGCTTGTTGGCCACATAAATGTCTTCTTTTGATAAGTATTTGTTCATATCCTTTGCCCACTTTTTGGTGGGATTTTTTTTTCTTGTAATTTGCTTAGTTCCTTGTAGATTCTGCATATTAGCCCTTTGTCAGAAGGATAGATTGCAAAAATTTTCTCCCATTCTGTAGGTTGTCTGTTTACTCTGGTGATAGTTTCTTTTGCTGTGCAGAGCTCTTTAGTTTAATTAGATCCCATTCACTAATTTTGGCTTTTGTTGCAATTGCTTTTGGTGTTTTAGTCATGAAGTCTTTGCCCATGCCTATGTCCTGAATGGTATTGCCTAGGTTTTCTTCTAGGGTTTTTATGGTTTTAGGTCTTATGTTTAAATCTTTAATCCATATTAAGTTAATTTTTGTATAAGGTATAAAGAAGGGGTTCAGTTTCAGCTTTCTGCACATGGCTAGCCAGTTTTCCCAACAACATTTATTAAATAGGGAATTATTTCCCTATTGCTTGTTTTTGTCTGGTTTGTCAAAGGTCAGATGGTTGTAGATGTGTGGCGTTGCCTCTGAGGCCTCTGTTCTGCTCCATTGGTCTATATCTCTGTTTAGGTATCAGTAACATGCTGTTTTGGTTACTGTCACTTTGTAGTATAGTTTGAGTCAGGTAGTGTGATGCCTCCCTTTGTTCTTTTTGCTTAGGACTGTCTTGGCTATTTGGGCTCTTTGTTGGTTCCATATGAAATTTAAAGTAGTTTTTTTTTCTATTTCTGTGAAGAAAGCCAATGGTAGCTTGATGGGAATAGCATTGAATCTGTAAGTTATTTTGAGAAGTATAACCATTTTTACAATATTGATTCTTCCTATCCATGAGCGTGGAATGCTTTTCCATTTGTTTTTGTCCTCTCTTATTTCCATGAGCAGTGGTTTGCAGTTCTCCTTGAAGAGGTCCTTTACATCCCTTGTTAGTTGTATTCCTAGGTATTTTATTCTCTTTGTAGCAATTGTGAATGGGAGTTCACTCATGATTTGGCTCTCTGTTAGTCTATTATTGGTGCATAGGAATGCTTGTGAGTTTTGCACATTGATTTTGTATCATGAAAATTTCCTGAAGTTGCTTATTAGCTTAAGGAGTTTTTGGTCTGAGACCATGGAATTCCTGAATATATAATCATGTTATCTGCAAACGGAGATAATTTGACTTCCTCTGTTCCTATTTGAATATCCTTTATTTCTTTCTCTTGCCTGATTTCACTGGCCAGAACTTCTAATACTATATTGAATAGGAATGGGTGAGAGAGGTCATCTTTTTCTTGTGTTGGTTTTCAAAGGGAATGCTTCTAGCTTTTGCCCATTCAGTATGATATTGGCTGTGGATTTGTCATAAGTAGCTCTTATTATTTTGAGTTATCTTCCATCAATACCTGGTTTATTGAGTCTTTTTAGCATGAAGGGGTATTGAGTTTTATTGAAGGCCTTTTCTAACTCTGTTAAGATAGTCATGTGGTTTTGCGGTTTTTTGGTTCTGTTTATGTGATGGATTATGTTTTTTGATTTGCATATGTTGAACCAGGCTTGCATCCCAGGGCTGAAGCTGACTTGATTGTGATGGATAAGCTTTTTAATATGTGATTTCAGTTTCCCAGTATTTTATTGAGGATTTTTACATCAGTGTTCATCAGGGATATCGGCCTGAAATTTTTTTTTTATTGTGACTTTGCCAGGTTTTGGTATCAGGATGATGCTGGCCTTATAAAAGGAGTTAGGGAGGAGTCCTTCTTTTTCTATTGTTTGGAATAGTTTTAGGAGGAATGGAACCAGTTGCTCTTTGTACCCATGGTAGGATTTGGCTGTGAATCCATCTGGTCCTGGGCTTTTTTTTTTTTAAATATCTTTGTTAATTTTCTGACTCGTTGATCTGTCTAATATTGACAGTGGGGTGTTAAAGTCTCCCACTATTATTGCGTGAGAGTCTAAGTCTCTTTGTAGGTCTCTAAAAACTTGTTTTATGAATCTGGGTGCTCCTGTATTGGGTGTATATATATTTAGGATAGTTAGCTCTTCTTGATGCATTGATCTGTTTACCGTTATGTAATGCCCCTTTTTTTTGGTCTTTTTTGATTTTTGTTGGTTTAAAGTCTGTTTGATCAGAGACTAGGATTGCAACCCCTGCTACTGTTTGCTTTTCATTTGCTTGGTAAATATTCCTCCATCCCTTTATTTTGAGCCTGTGTGTGTCTTTGCACATGAAATGGGTCTCCTGAATACAGCACATCGATAGGTCTTGATTATTTGTTAAATTTGCCAGTCTGTGTCTTTTAATTGAGGCATTTTGCCTGTTTATATTTAAGGTTAATATTGTTATGTATGTATTTGATCCTGTCATTATGATGCTAGCTGCTTATTTTGCCCATTAGTTGATGCAGTTTCTTCATAATGTTGATGGTCTTTACAATTTGGTTTGTTTTTGCAATGGCCGGTATCAGTTTTTCCTTTCCATATTTAGTGCTACCTTCAAGAGCTCCTGTAAGGCAGGCCTGGTGGTGACAAAATCTCTCGGCATTTGTTTGTCTGTAAAGAATTTTATTTCTTCTTCACTTATGAAGCTTAGTTTGGCTGGTTATGAAATTCTGGGTGGAAAATTCTTTTCTTTAAGAATGTTGAATATTGGCCCCCACTGTCTTCTGACTTTTAGGGTTTCTGTAGAGAGATCTGCTATTAGCCTGATGGGCTTCCCTTTGTCAGTAATCTGACCTGTCTCTCTGGCTGCCCTTAACATTTTTCCCTTGATTTCAACTTTGGTAAATCTGACAATTATCTGTCTTGGCTTTGCTTTTCTTGAGGAGTATCTTTGTGGTATTTTCTGAATTTGAATGTTGGCATGTCTTACTAGGTTAGGAAATTTCTCCTAGATAATGTCCTGAAGAGTGTTTTGACTTGGTTCCATTCTCCCCATCACTTTCAGGTATACCAATTAAATGCAGTCCCTTATTTCTTGGAAGCT